ATGCCCCCTGAAGCCGAAGGGTTCCCCCTTTTATACAGAAACAAAGAGAACTCAAACCCTTTTCTAATTCTAAATTCTTATCCCAATCTCTAAAATTATAGATAATGATCTGGCCCTATTAGAATTTGGAATTCTAAAACTAATCTAGTTCTTTACACTTCTTCCCTCTTTTAAGGCTAGATTCATACCTTTAAAATATCAAGACTCCCAATTTGAATTGACTTCAAAAACTTCTTCTGTGACTCTTGTTGAAGACCTCTAATCTAGATATTTCTTCTTGCTGAAGTAGTATTTTATCCAAAATTGAGTAGATTTTGGGAGAGTGACTTACGGCAAGAAGAAGAATCATGAAAGTGAGGGGCTAGGGTTCGGAACCCAGCCCCCCCCCTTTTTTTTTAAGCAAAACGACGTCATTTTGCTATCTCCTCCCCTCAGCCCTTTAAGTTTCATGCTTTTATAAAAATAGTCCACTAACTTTTACTTTTATCATTTAGCCCCAATTAAAATTGGGTTATGACAGTATACATAATTTAAAAAAGAAAAATAAAAGATAACAAAAATAGAATTTTGGAGCTAGAAACTATCATTAACTAAATCAAATTTCAGATGAAACAATATCAAATTTAATTATGCTTTATTAATAATCAGACCATCAGAAAACTATAAATAATAAGATGGTAAAGAGATCTATAATGCCAAAAAATGACATAATTAAAAAATTCAATCCAATATAGCATAACTTACTTTCTCTAATATTTGTAAATTAAACAAACCACAGGCATGTTAATTGACCAAAGTCAAACACAAAACCTTATGGTTTCTTGGTGAGAAAATTTTTTCTATAGATAGCATTAGAACTTTCCTTGTATCATCAATTGCTAAAAACTCAATTCAACTAATTTGATTTTTCCCTTAACAATCTCCAGAATTTTCATCTAAAACCAAGTTGGTATTGCTATGATGAGGGGCAAGACAGGCGACAGTGGAGTGGAGTGGTGAGAACACACGATAGTAGCAGAGTCGGTTGGGGATTTTCTGTTGAGAGGCCCTTGTAGTACACTAGAGAGAAGGTGACGGTTTCCTAACGAAATTACTCAAATTAGTTGGTTGGAATGAGATAAAATAAAGAGACAGCAGCTAGCCAAAGAAACCCAATTTTTGACAATCAGTGGCGGTGGCAGGCTGGCAGCTAAAGAAATGCCTTATACATGCATTTAAACTGTAAAATCTATTCAGCATATAAAACCCGAAGCTTTCCTTATGACCTCAACTGGGGCAGGAGCCCTCCCTAAACCTGTCAAATGTAACAGAGAAGGATTTGAATGCTCAATCCACCAAGACCTTCAGCACATCCCGCATTTCTTGTGGAGTCCTTGGCACAAGAAGAGATTCTCCTCGGGAAAGCTTAAGTCAAATGCAAATGCTTGAACCAAAGACTTGTAATCAAGGGGTTGAATAATCAATCATTTCAAAGGAAAAGAAGAGAGATTGGCTTGGAAACTGATTGATTTTCCCCTCTCGTGTATGCAAAAATGAGTGTGGAATGGATGAAAGCCTTGTGGGCACTTTCATATAGGGCTTGACTTAGCCTTGACCTCCCCGCTCAATTCGAGAGAAACCCTTGCTAAAAGAAAAGGGAAGCATGTAGTTTTACTCAATAAGAGATGATAATGTTGTTGCAAAGAACCTTCAAGATCTTCCTTTCATGTATCTTCTCTCCAGGCAGACCTACAAGATCCCGAGGTTGGTCCTCGGGGAGAAACTCCGATGCTTAAGTTAGTATTTTTCTAATGAGTGTCCTCCTTTATCATTCTATGTATTTATCGTACCTTTCTTTGTGGGTCTTGTACATCTTGGCAAGGTACCCATGCGGCTTACCTATACCCACGTGGCTTAGTTAACACAATAATCATGACATGGTGTGCCTGACGGAGCAGATGTCTTAGGTGAACATAACGTGCCTTAACGGAGCAACCACATTAAATGTGCGTGGTGTGTTCTGACGGAGCAGGTCCCTTGAGAAGGGAGAATCAGGTAAGGACAAATGATTGGGTAAGAGTGTTCTTATTGTAACTGCCATGCACTTGTGGCGGAGAGTCGAGGTGCGACAAAGCCTTGAGCTCTACCCTGTGTCCCGTGTATACATACCCTTACACTATTCCCCCCTCCCCCAAAGTCATTCACTTGTGCATGATGAAGGAAAGATGGGGAATGTATGAATGGTCACGGCCGAGGTGGAAAGACATGATGTGGTCATGCGTTGTGACTGTAGCCGAGGTAAAAATGCATGGCACGAAGTCGTGTTATGGTCGTAGCCAAGTGAGGTGACGTACTCACTATGGCTGTAGCCGAGATAAAATTGGTGACAGGAGGTTACTATGGCCGGAGCCGAAGTGAAATGTGACTCGAGGTCGCTACGGTCGGAGCCGAAGTAAAATGTGGCTCAGGTTCATCATGGCCAAAGCCGAGGTTAAATGAATGACTTAAGGTCACTGTGGCCGGAGCTGAAGTTAAATGAGTGGCTTGAGATCACTATGGTCGGAGCCGAGGTTAAATGAGTGACTTGAGGTCACTGTGGCCGGAGCCGAAGTTAAGTGAGTGACTTGAGGTCATTGTGGCTAGAGCCGAAGTTAAGTGAGTGACTTGAGGTCACTGTGGCCGGAGCTGAAGTTAAATGAGTGACTTGAGGTCACTATGGCTGAAGCTGAGGTTAAATGTGGACACTTAGTAATTTTGTGGAAAAAACATATAGGAAGGGGCTCAAAATGGGCCCATTTATGAAGTCCTAAAGCCGGTTAGTGTACCAAACGACAGCTTTCATTGAAAGGCGTGAAGTAATAAATACGGTTTGCAAAAAGTAACTGTCACATTCGAAAGGATGCGATGGTAGGTTAAATAGCAAATTTGAAAGGGCAAGGTCACAACTGTTTGATGAAATTGATTGTGACAGTTAAAATCTGTGTTTTCCATGATATATATATAGCCACACTTAACGCAAAAATCTAATTCCTTTTGCTGCTAACATCGTGAAAATGCTCACCCAGTTTTCTACATTCTGCTCTATTCGTCTCCTTTTAGCCGAAATCAGGTAATTTGTGAGCATCTTCTTCTACCTTTCTTTATAGTGAGAATGTCTTCTGAAGAAACAGTTAGTGATGAAAGGGTTAGGGGGAGGTTTGAGGAGGTTGAGGGGAGGGATTTGGGGGTGCCCCAAAATATTTTGGAGAGAGAGGATGAAAGGGAGGAGTGTTTCAACCCCGAGGAGGAGATTGCTTCCGAGGTTATGGGGTATGAGACATCTCTGGAAAGCAGGAGTGGCTTAGCCCACTTAGTTGAAAACTGTGGGGTGCCTGAGCATGTGTTAGTGAGGTTGGCATAGAGGAGAGAGAGCGCTTGTTCAGCTTTAGGGGACCATTGGATGCCCTTCTACTCCCATTGATATTCTTATTTCGTTTAAAGTTTCAGGATAAAAATCTTCTTAATTGTTTGGTGACTTAAAGTTTATCCTATTGTATAGACTGTGAACCTTGTGAATGCATTGGCGAATGAGCATCACGAGAGTCTGAGGGATAGAACTCAGTTAAGGAAGGAGAATGTCGAGCTCGTCAAGAAGAACGAGGAGGCCGAGGTCAAGGTGGCAAAATTGAAGGCGGAGATGGAGGAACTCAAAAAGGAGAATGCCACTTTGAAGAAAGACTCGGAGCTCTCGTACGAAAAAAGAAAAATCTGTGAAGATGAGCTCGAGAAGAAAGAAAAAGAGTTAGACGAGGTGGCGAAAGCAGCAGTTGAGCTGGAGCTCAAGGTTCACAACTCTGTTGAAGAGCATGTGGCAGGATTTTTGAAATCTAGCACTTTCGAGGATATCATCAACCTCTACCAACTCCCTACGGCAATTGTAGCCTTCTCTGATTGTCGGAAGAAGGTGAAGTTGTAGTATCTTGATGTGGATGTGACAAAAATCACATTCAGAGATCAGGAGGGAGAAGTGGAAAAAAATGGGGAGAGCAGTACTACTGACTTTCGTCCTAAGGTTTCGCTGAAGTGGGACAGAGACAGTAGAGGTCAAACCATTTTACCTCCAAACTTCAGTTTTGAGTTCGTACCGGTTGCTGACGAAGGGAGTGAAGGTGTTGACAACCCAGATCAGCCTGTTGAATAACTCCTCATTTCGTTCATCTTTGTAAAATAATTTGTTTGTAAACAATTAAAGTTTTATTTAATAAATTTAGTTCGACATTTTAAAGTGTTGGTTATGTTTTTGGAGTAATTTGAACTAGGAGGGGTTAAATGGAACTTGTCAATTTCATCGAGGTGGGAGGAATGAAACTGACTTCGTCTTTAACTTTATTAGGATATCAAATGTTACAAAAGAAGGATGTTTAATACAAATAGTGAAATGGGGAACTTTTAAGGGTAGAATTTCTTAAGGTTGTTAACATTCCAAACCCTGGGCACTCTCTTGCCTTCAGAATCTTGGAGAATGTATGCACCAGGGTGTGGGATTTCAGTCACAATGTATGGGCCTTCCCAATTCGGTGCTAACTTGCTGAAGCGGGTCTTGAAACCTGTGAGCCTAGCCTTTTTGAGGACTAAGTCACCGATTCTGAAGTTCTGAGGTCGAACCCGTTTATTGTAAAGGCTAGCTACTTTCTGCTTGTATGCAAGCGTTTGAAGTCGGGATTACTCTCGGACTTCGTTTAAGAAATCAAGGTTTTTTCTAAGTAATTGTTCATTTTGAACTGGTTTAAAATGGCTGACTCTTAAGCTCGGAACACCAATTTTGACAAGGATAGCTGCCTCGGTGCCAAAGGCCAAGTGATAGGGCGTTTCGTCTATTTGAAGGAGACTATAACTTTAGGATTTATTTTACGGAGCGATTTATAATTTGAGTAAAATAATGAAACAAGAGATTAAAGTTAAGGGCGTATCTATGGCAGTTTGGCTCGTAGTTGAGTAGGCCCATAGGACATTGTTAAGCTCATTTACCCATTTTGCTTTCAGCTTATCTAACCTTGGCTTGATTTCCTCCAAGATGGCTTTGTTAGCTGATTCAACCATTCCATTAACCTCGAGATGATAAACAGAAGTGAATACTAACTTAATCCTGTAACTGGAGCAGAAACTTTAAAGGAGCTGTAATTGAATTGGGGACCATTATCAGTAATAATCTGGTTCGGTATCTTGTATCTACAAATGACTGTGCTGAAAAGAAAGTCCTCAATTCTTCTTGAAGTCAAATAGGAGAAAGGCCGGGCTTCTTCCCACTTAGCGAAGTAATCAATGGCAACAACCAAGTGTGTTACTGCCCCCCACTGCTTTGATGAAAGAGCCTAGAAGATCTATTCCTCATTGGGCAAAAGGCCAAGGTGTGACCATGTTGGTGAGTTCTTTAACTGGTTGATGGGTAAGATGAGCGAAGAATTGACACTTCTGGCATTTCTATACAAACTGCTTTGCATCATCTTGCATGTTGGGCCAATAGTACCCCTACCGAAGTACCTTATGGGCCAAAGTTCGAGCTCCCATGTGGCTTTCACATACCCCTTCATGCACTTGTCTTAGTGCATATTCAACTTCATATGGTGTTAGGCACCAGAGGAGAGGTAATGAATCAGACCTCTTGTATAAGACATCACCAACTAAGGTGTATTGGGATGCCTTTCTCCGCAACTTCATCTCTTCCTATTTGTCCGCTGGGATAGTTCCATCTAGGAGGTATGCCCTGATGGGGTCCGTCCAACTAGGAGCTTTTAGATCAGTGCTAATTTCCATTACCTTTGATGTTTGAAAGCTTGATTCATTTAGTATCTTGATATAGACAGATTTCACCCCCTCGAGCTATCGGATGCTAATTTTGAAAAAGAATTTGCATGCTCATTCTCTGCTCTCGGGACCTTTGTAAGTTGAAATTTTTCAAAGTGACATTTCAGCTCAGAGACTACGGCCACATACTTTGCAAGAGTGAGATCTGTGACCTCGCACATAGAATTGATTTGATTGACCACCAATTGTGAGTCACTATATATTTGCAAGCGCTTGATCTTGAGCTTGGCTGCCAAATGCAGTCCTAGGAGGAGTGCCTCGTATTCAGCCATGTTGTTCGTGGCTTCGAAATTGAACTTCAAAGCATATTCACTTTAGAAATTGTCAGGCCTAGGCCTGGTCAGTATTGCTCCAGCTCCTAAACCCTTGCTATTAGATGACCCATCGACATAGAGGGTCCATGTTTTGGCCTCAGAACTTGGTCCCTCCTGATCAGAAGTGCATTCTACCATGAAGTCTGCCAAAACCTGAGCTCAAATTGCCGACCTCTGTTGGAACGTTATTTGAAACTCTCCCAGCTCTACTACACATTTGATGAGTCTCCCAGAGTATTTTGGTTTCTGCAAAATCTGTCTTAAAGGTTGATCAGTCATCACGATAATAGGGTGGGATTGAAAATATAGCCTCAACTTCCTTGCGATAACAACAACTGCTAGAGCTGCTCTCTCTGTTATGGAATACCTTTGTTCAGCTCCTTGTAGCACTTTGCTGGCATAGTATACTGGTCACTGTTATTTCCCCATTTCCTTGACGAAAACAGAACTGACAGCTGTATCAGATCTCTTGAGGTAAAGATAAAGAATTTCACCTTCTTTAGCCTTAGTCAGCAGAGGTGGCGAGCTAAGGTTGGCTTTGAGCCTATCAAAGGCTATTTGACAATTTGTAGTCCAGTTAAACTTCTAGGGTTTTCCTGTCTCATCTCCCTGGGCTACGGCTCTCAAGACCTTGAAGAAGGGCAAGCATTTATCCGCCGATTTAGAGATGAATCTGTGTAGAACTGCTACCCGTCCAATTAAATGCTGCACATCCTTGATTGACCTCGACGGTTTCATCTCCTTTATTGCTTTTATCTTCCCAAGATTGACCTCTATCCTCCTTCTGGAAACCATAAAACCCAAAAACTTGCCTGATTCAACACCAAAAGTGCATTTCGTCAGAGTCAACTTCATGCTATATCTTCTAAGGTTGTTGAATGTCTCAACCAAGTTAGTCAAGTGATCTTCTTCTCGAGGACTTTTGACTACAATGTCTCTACGTAAACCTCCAAGTTTCTACCTATCTAAGCTCGGAACACGATTGTTACCATTTTCTAATATGTTGCTCCTGCATTTTTGAGCCCAAATGGCATTATCACGTAACAATAGATTTCATCCCCAGCATAAAATGAGGTCTTCACTTCGTCTTCGGATGCCATGTGAACTTGATGATACCCCAAGTAAGCATCTAAGAGTCTCAATCTTTCATTTCCTAAGGCAGCCTCTACTAGCTTGTCTATGTTAGGCATAGGGTGACAATCTTTAGTGCAGGCGTCATTGAGATTGGTGTAAACGATACACATTCGCCACTTGTCGTTCGACTTTTTTACCATAACAGGATTAACGACCCATTCACAGTAATCTACCCTCCTTACGAATCCGGCCTGTAATAGCTTTTGCACTTCTTCTCTAATAGCTTGCAGTTTCTCTCCTCCGAATAGACGTCTCTTTTGAGCTACCGATTTCTTCAGAGGATTGTTGCTTAACTTGTGTACCGCAACTGAGGTCGGGACTTTAGGCATGTCGGCTGAGGTCTATGCAAACACATCCTTGTTTGCTTTCAACAAGCTTTTGAGCTCCTCTCTTTCCCTCGGTTTTAGTCTTGTCCCAATCTGCGTCCTTCTGGTGGGATCATTATCATCTATCTGCACTTTTTTCGTTTCTTCTACCAGGGCAGCTCTGGCTTCGTCATCTGGCCTGTTATCTAATAACTCCACACCCATTACTTGTTGAGTACTAGGTGCCTCTGATTGCATTGGTTCTAGTAACTGAACTGACTCCTTATCCTTTCGAGGTCGGTTGATCAAGGTCATATAGCAGTGTTTGGCCACTTCTTGGTTCCCCCTCCAAGTCATAATTCCCATGGGTGTGGGGAACTTCATGTACAAATGAGATTGCGAGACAACAGCTCAGATTTCTATTGAGGTGGGCCTCCCTACTACTATGTTGAAAGATGAGGCCATTTTCACACCAGAAACTGGACTGAGGGGGTGACATATGTTTGGCTTAAACCGAAAGTCACATTGATCTTTAGTACCCTTTCAACAGGAACCGACTGATTGTTGAAGTCATAAATAGGTCCATCATATTTCTACAAGAGAGTGGGGTCGAGGCCAAGGCTCTCAAAGTAGTGGTAGTACATTATATCAGGAGCACTTTTAATGTCAACAAGGACACGATGGACTTCACAGTTGTTGACGATGACTGTCGTTACCAGCAGGTCATTATGGGGTGTAATGATGCTGCCGAGGTCAGCCGATGTGAATGTTATGGGTTGGTCTTTCCACCCTTCATCGTGGAGCTTCCTCTTCTGAGCTTGATTCTGATGCCTAACCTCCCTCATGTAGAATTTATGCTGCTTTGAGCTCATCTCCCCTGCCTCTAGCGCCCCATTTTTCATATGAATGATTCTAGCTGGTGTGGGGAGCGGAGGTGGAGGTTGTTGGTACTCGACCCCCGTCTTGTTACCAACACCTTGGGGCCCTTAGGATTCTTGGCACTGTTCCCTTACAAATCTCAGGTGGTCTTTGTTAGGGATGAACTCATTCAACATCCCCTTTCATGCCATGCTTTCAAGCTCGGACTTCAGCATATTGTATGCCTTTGTTGTATGGCTGTGATCTTGGTGGTTGTCACAATATTTAGTGTGATCTTTGGAGGTGGGTAAGCTCCGTATGGGTGGTGGCCTTCTGAGATCCATTTTATTTTTTATTTATATTAAGATCTGCGACCTCGGTAGTGTAAATGTAGTCCAAGTGGGCTGCTTTCTTATGACGTACGAGGTACTCACACCAGGCTTGTCAACCTTGGCGGTTGAGAGCGGATCTCGATTCTGAATGGCTTTGAATTTCTTCTTGCTCGGCCCTTTTTCCATCCACGTGGGGCTTCTGCTATCCTTGATGGTTAAGGGCTTCTGCGACAGCACATATTCTTCTCCAGTGATGAAATTGCGAGATCTTTTATTGACCTCTTCAAATGAAGCAAGGGTTGTTTGATCAAACTGTCTCGAAACCGCTCATGGCTAAGCCCTTGGGTGATGACGGCGATTCCCACAGCTTGGTCAAACGAATTCATCTCCAGCACAGTATCATTGAACCTGTTTATGTAATTTTTTAGGGATTCTCCTTCCCTCTGGACCACCTGCATTAGCTCGGTTGTTGTTTTCTTAATGAGCCTCTGACTGGAAAATTTGGTGGTGAAGGCCATTGCCATCTTGACATATGAACTGATTGAGTTTGGTTTCAGACTATAATACCAGGTTCGAGTATTACCACATAACACGGATGACAATATTTTGCACATGAGGGCATCCGAGGCATTTTGAGCCTGCATGACAGAAAAGAAGGCGTGCAAGTGGTCATCAGGGTCTTTAGTTCCATCCTATGTCTCGAACTAAGGCATCCTGAAGCCGAATGGGTATGGTTCCTGGACAATGTTGGTATTAAGGGGAGTGGATATAGGAGTTGAGCTGGTTTGGCCTGGGGGTATAGCTCTATTTTTAGCCATCATCCTTTCAAGGTTATCTAGCCTTTTGGAGATGTCTAAGGCTACTGGTTGGGGTGGATTAGGAGGTGGAGGTGGAACGTGATATTGTGATTATGAGGCATTCTTGGGTGGGGCAACGCTCCGAACAGGGGAGTTAACAGGCTGCTGTTGTTGATGAGGAATTGTGGGGTGAGTTGGGCTTAATAAGTTGATAAGAGAGTCACCAGGATTGCTTTTGGCTAGGAGCTATGCAAGCACCAGCTAGAATACTCCAAATTGTTGCTGCATGGTATTGAGTTGAGCAGTTCGGAGGTCATTTGGGGCAGCGACTGAGTGTTGTGGGTCGTGTTCCCTTGTTTCTTCTACATGTTGGCGTTGAGCAGCAACAAGCAGTACATTCTGAAGCATGGAGTTGGGATTCGGAGATCGGTCTCTTCCGCCACCTCAAGACTGGCCTCCATGCTAGGTTGAGCGTGTGCAAACCATCTTAGTCTTTTTGTTTTTCTCAGAGCTTCTTGTTCAATTTCCTACAGATGGTGCCAAATGTGATTGCAGAGAACCTTCAAGATCTTCCTTTCGTGTATCTTCTCTCCAGGCAGACCTGCAAGATCCTGAGGTTGGTCCTCGAGGAGAAACTCCAATGCTTAAGTTAGTATTTTTCTAATGAGTGTCCTCCTTTATCATTCTATGTATTTATCGTACATTTCTTTGTGGGTCTTGTACATCTTAGCAAGGTACCCACATGGCTTACCCGTACCCACGTGGCTTAGTTAACACAATAATCATGACATGGAGTGCCTGACGGAGCAGACGTTTTAGGTGAACATAACGTACCTTAACGGAGCAATCACATTAAATGCACGTGGTGTGTTTTGACGGAGCAGGTCCCTTGAGAAGGGAGAATCAAGTAAGCACAAATGATTGGGTAAGGGTGTTCTTATTGTAACTGCCATGTGCTTATGGCAAAGAGCCAAGGTGCAGCAAAGCCTTGAGCTTTGCCCTGTGTCCCGTGTATACATACCCTTACAGATAAGGGCTTAGTTTAGGCTCGATGAAGTCAATTAGGAGTCGCATAGGATTTGAGAAAGCTTTTTCCTCAACTGTGCCTAAGAGAGAGTAAAGATAGCCAATCCGGTCTGTCCTTGCAAATGTATAAAATAAAACACAAGGTCAAAGGAATGGGATTCTTATTGTATTCTATAGAAACTAGCTTAGGACTTGAAAGCATAACGAGGGGACTAATTGAATAGATTAAATCAAGAAAAAAAAATGGAGTTTTGTACATCACTAAAAAAACTAATAATAATAATAGTGTACGAGTTTTGGACACGTTTTACACAGTGGCGTTTCCGGTATTGCATTTAAGTGATTGTGAATTGTCCCCAAAACTCACATAAGGGACATCTTATCCTTGTAGCCATTTTGGGGATGATAGAGTTATTGTCCCCAAAACCCTTCTGTTTTTTTAGTATTAACCTTCTGGTATTCGGTAATCACATTGGATCTCGATTAATCCAGAATCAATCATTTTCCCGCCATTTCCCTGAATCTCAGACTGTGCGCCAGAGAGAGGGAATCCAGAAATCAATGGGGAGAGACAAAGAAAAGGAAAAACAAAAACAAAAACGAATGCTAATTATAAAAGTAGCCCTTTACACTCTACAAACCCATTGCTCCAGTCGAAGCTGCTTCAAAGGTGGACCTTGATGAGGCTTGTTCCTCTAAGGACAACGTCATTTTTTGATGACCTCCATTACCTCACAATGTTGAATATTGGTTGTTTCTGCCAAGACTATTCTTTTCTCAACAGGATCCTTTCCACCACTAGTAATGCTCCCACCTTTGAAATTCAAACCCTCAAATAATTAACAACATTATGGAAGAAAAAATGTTATCTCCTAACTTATAACACATCACCAAATGTAAAATACATACACACCAAACATTATATACATATACATAACGGAACAATATTTTTTTCATCTTAGTTCTTAAAGATTAAGAGGGGGGAAGCTCTCCCAGCACCTGTTTCTCCATTCATAAGACTCGAACTCGAGATCTTATTTAAGGGGAACTGAGCTCCTTCCACTTGGACCAACAGGTCGTTGGTCCCAAAACCCTAAAACCCTTCTTAGTAGGGATGATTATTGAGCACAAACTTAAAATTTAGCGTATTCAACTAATTTATAGTAGCCCTACCCTATGAAACCTACAGCCACAAAGCTCCTTCTCTCCCCTTCTTTCAATCATCGGGAAACCTAGCACAACTTTTCTGTTGTGACACTTCGTGCCATTTCCCTATTTTTCTACTATTCGATCCATCCTCCTCGCTCTTCCTTCACCAAATACTTGGTCTTCATTGCACTGTCTCAATTACACCTTAGCAATCGTTGTTCAAAACATCCATAATAAATTCGAAAATCTCGATAGGTTGCTTCCCTAAATCCCCCTCTTCCTTTGCAGTTGCCGTCTACTACGAGATTACCACTATAGATGTATCTTGCTTGCCACTCACCCATCGTCCATCCTGGAACTGAGGAAGGTTATTCTTTGTACTTAACCAGAAAATGGGGCAAAAAATTTCTGCTTGTCAGGTATCTGTTAATTATTTGATCAATAACTTTTTATTAGAGATTGACGTAATGCAATCCAAACCATTGCAGTTCGTCATATGGGTTTACTAAAATATTTTTAATGATATTTTAATAAATTCATAAGATGAACTACACTTTTAATATATAATTTGTCATATAAAATTTTTTTTTGCTTTTATTATATGGATCTATGAATGAGTTATGGGATATTCAATTTTAATTGTTGATTAAATTGTGAATAGGCCCTAAATTTTTGTTATTAAGATTAAATGTTGAGATTTAAGTAATATAGAGGTATTAGTCAGCTTATTGAACCACTGGAATTGATTTTGTTATATTTGAACGAATATTATTGAAGTGTTTGTTGCTTGGATTTGATTGTGGTTTTCTCATAAGAAAACGTCTGTTCATGAGATCAATTCTCCCTAATTTTTTTTTTTTATTCTCTGTTCCTTTTTTTTTTCTTTTTATGCCCATTGCGCTAATTCACTTCTTTTTTTTGTTTTCATCAATTATTTTATTCTTCTTCGTATGATGTCTAAATTTTTAGGCCTCTATATGTTAGGTGTAGTTGAATTCATGATACTTTTTCTGTGACATTTTGCACCAGATTTCAGTGGTTATTATTTTTTTTCTACAAAGCTCAATTTGGCCATTTTTGTTTAGGAACAGCAACAATATGACAAATAATCTGTTCAAAATTTTAAAGTGTTGTGTTTTTCTCTTTTCTCTTGTTTCTTTGGTAAGGAAAATTGTTAGAATTATATTTTTCATATTATTTATACAATTGGTTGGTCTACAATTGTAGAAGTTATACGGTCAAATCTACAATGGCTTAATATCAAGTTAGAATTACTACCACTTCATTACAACGTGACCCAGTTCCAATGCAAAACAATTGTGTATTTCTACTTTCCATGGAAAATTGCTCACATTATTTGGACTTAACAATGCATGGTAGGCATTTCTTTTTCTAGCCCAATCAAACATTTTCCTAGGTGATATTTCCAGCCCATGAACTCTATTTAACTATTGACTTCATAATACATGATTTTGGGATGGCAGGTAATTCAATTATTGCTTTTGTTCAGTTATTGCTCCACATGCAAAACAAAGGTATCACATTGTGATTAAAAAACCATAGCTTCATACAAATCATGTCGGATTCTCTTCTTCTTTTTTTTTTTTTTTCCTACTTTTGTGTTTGTTTTCAATATATGTTATGGTTTTAGAGTATGAGTGTTGGTTTGGTTTTTATATTAGTTTCTAGGAATTTTTTCATTTTTCTTATAGCTATTTTGGTTCTGAAATAATTGTAGGTTTAGTTCTTGTTTGCCTTGGAAGCTAGGATTTTTTAGGATAAACCTTACACCGAACCAAGTTAAACCCATGAATATTGACATATTTTTGAGTTTGTAGGATATTTAGAGAAAGTTTTTCTAAAATTTTAAAGTTCATTCTACTATTAGAGTATTTTGCTTTCAACCTTCTATCTCAAGTAGTCTTCATTCTTCAACATCAACTCTACAAGAGGAGAAATATTAGTTTATTCCCTAACTATTTCTCTCAAATTTCCTATTTTTTGCCCCCTAATCTCTAAAAGTCCATAACCATTGTGATGCTTTATCTTCAAGTCATAGGATTGTTGGCCCAATTTGAATCACAGTAGGCTAATAGTTGTAAATGGCTTGAGGAGGGAAGGAAAACACCGTGCCTTGGTGAAGATTTTAAGTATCATAAGATATGTATTGCCATGTTGAGATGTGGTTGCTAAGGAGTTTGCATGAATTGGCTTAGAGTGTGAACCACATAAGAGATTTTAGGATGTGTTATAGTTAGGTATATGAGGTGTCCAACTAGTCATCTATATTCCATGGGGTTTGAGAAAGGACGCCTGATATCATAGGTGAGTTTAAGCTTTTACTCCATGGGAAATGAACATGGCTTAGCATCAAGCATTCCAGAGTCATTCAAGATATCAAGTGTATATTTTTGTTGGCAGAGGAAAATTCCTAAAGGGTGTTGAGTGACTTCAATATCAAGAAAATATTTGATTTTGCCAAGGTCTTTGATGTGAAATTGGGCATTGGGAAAATCCTTCAATTGCTAATAAAGAGATGAATTATTTCCTATAACAATTAAATTGTAAACATATACTAATATAGTGAGAAAATTATTCTCACGTTGATAAGTGAAAAGGGAATAATCACATGCAACTTGCTTGAATCCAAAAAGACTTAAAGTAGAAGAAAATTCAACAAACCAATTACATGAAGCTTGTTTTAGTTTGTAAAGGGATTTTCTTGAGCGACAAACTCATTTTTCTCCTTGATTCCTATTAACAGTAAAACATAGAAAAGATGGTGTGGAACCAAGATCTTTATTGATAGAGAGAGTTTACAATGAAGAAAGAATGGTGATGGAAAAATAATCTACCTCCTTAGGTTGATCCTAGAGGTATTTATAAGATACTTAAATATAGTTATTCTCGGAATACAATTTTATTTAATTGGTGTTTGGGGTATTCTTATTCTAGTGGGATTTTATCCTACCCAACTTTGATAAGACTATCTCTAAAATGTCTCCACGTGTCCTGATTCTCATTGGACTTGATTTAGGGTATAACATTTGCCCCCCAATGAAGAAGTTTGAGAGTAGTGAAAACTTCAACGGGTGTCTGCCTTTCTTATTGCTCTGTTGATCTTGGTTTTGAATTTGTGCAGGTTCCCACTTTTTCAACTGTGACTGCCTCGTTAAAAACCTTAACTAGAAAAAACCCTGTGGTATAAAAAATCTAGCTTAAGGAAAAAAGAGTGCAGCACAGGTTTTTCTTCATGATTCCTGGCGTAGTTTCCTCATTAAAAAATTTTGTTGAAATTAATTGTTCTGCAGATTTGTGCTGATTTGTTCAGGTCCTTTCTTTGATTTTTCCATATCTTCACAGCTGCATTTCTTGGATTTTCTACTTCTTGGTAGCCTTTTTTATGCACGTGGCCCCCATAGCTCATCAAGATGTTGCTCCCTCACCATGGGCTGATTGTGTCTGATCGTCTTGCTGAGTTTGAGGATATGGATGTTGCTACACTGATTCATGCTGATCCAAAATTGAAGAAAGCTTATGATCGAGGTCTTAGTGTTGTTTTTCTAGATGATTCTCCTAGGGAGGCATCTGAAGGTACTGGTAGCTCCTGGGACATGGGAGATTCTGCCACCACCGTCTATAGCAGGGGTAGTTCTGTTGATGCGGAGGTTTCGCAGGGTGCCTCCCCTTCTCCGCTTGCGTAGCGAGCCTGTTTTTTATCCTTGAGAACTAAAGATATTATATTTTTCTATTTGTTGTAGATTTGTTGTTTTGTTTGTTTCGGGTTTTCGTCATGCCTTGCATTGTGTCTTTTCCTCGAGATTATATATGGAAAATATGTTTTCTTATATTCTGAAATTTGCATTAACCTCTGTAGCACATCTTGCATAGCTTTTGTCAGGGTATTTATATACACCCAAAACTTGCTTGCCGCCTTTTGCTTGTGTAACTTTTGCTTGGGTGTTTATGTACACCCATACTTGTTCACAGTTTTCGTTTGCCTGTGTAATTTTGGCTTGGGTATTTTATGTACACCCAAACTTGCTCACAGCTTTTTGTTTGTGTAACTTTTGCTTGGGTATTTTATGTACACCTAAACTTGCTCACAGCTTTTTGCTTGTCTGTGTAACTTTTGCTTGGGTATTTTATGTGCACCCAAACTTGCTCACAGCTTTTGCTTGTGTAACTTCTGCTTGGGTATTTAATGTACATGCAAACTTGCTCACAGCTTTTAGTTTGCTTAAGCATATTTTTGTTCTATCCGGATATTATGTATTTGCTAAATTTTGCATTTTATTAAGATAAAAGCCATAATGTTCATGGAGAATAATTTATAAGATTACTTGCCTTTGCTTACTGGTAGTATTTCTTAAGGTCTGCAACATTCTAGGTCCATGGGATTATAGCTCCATTGGGACGCATCAACTTGAAGGCTCCATTGCCTAAATCTTCCTTGATGAGGTATTGTCTTTCCCAGCTTGAGCGTAGCTTTCCTTCTCAAGAATTGCTTTCTAAAACCTTTGTTTTTCTTAGTACCCAATCTCCTTTGCATAGGTTTTTAGGTTTTACCTTGAGATTGTAATATTTTTCTGCTTTTCCATGGTAACTTGCCATTCGTACTTGTGATAAGTCCCTAACTTCTTCTAGTAAATCCAGGTTGGCTCTTAAAGTCTCGTTGTTTTTGTGTTCGTTGTAATGGCTTGCTCTATGCATTGAAATTCTGGTTTCTACTGGAATCACTGCTTCTGTTCCATATGTTAAATTGAATGGAGTGTCACCGGTGGATGTGCGGTACGTGTTTCTGTAGGCCCATAATGTGTATGGTAGTTCATCTGCCCATGTACCTTTAGTTCCTCTATCCATGTGCCTTTTGCCTTTCCTACCTTCTTTTTCAAGCTATCTAATATGATTCCATTCGCTGCTTCTGCTTGTCCATTTGATTCTTGTCATAACTCAAATTTTTAATAGAATTATTTTTATTTTTATTTTTAGTCTTATTTTTATTTTAATTAATATGTTTTGTCTTTGTTTTTCTTGTTAGGTTTACGGACAAAAGAGGATTGGAAAGGGAGATGAAGGAATTTAAGATGACGGACTTAATTGAAGAGATGGAAAGTTGGAGGGGTGAAATGCAAAGTCAAAAACCAAAACCCAAAATGCAAAGTCAAAAACCAAAACCCAAAGCCCACCAAAACCCAAAACCCAAAATCAAACCCAAAACCCAAGTCCAAATCCACAACTAACCAAAAACCCAATCTCCCAAAAAAGAAAAAAAAAAAAAAGTTAAACGTCCTTCTCTCCCGAGCCTTCCCCATTTTCGGCAGCCATCGCAGAGCAACCAGCAGCCACCTTCCCTCTGTCCGCCGGCGATAAAGCTTCCCATGCCCCAAAACATCTTCCTCACCGACCCATCACACCTCCCTCGTCCCTCGGATCCCTGTTCTTCCTCATGCATCTTTGGCTTTTTCTCTCTCTCATCTCCCGGATTTCCCTCAAAAACAGGCGGCAGCCATCTCTCACCTTCTCTCCCCTGTGCAGCCCCTTCTTTTCTGCAGATCCTCGAGCTCGCCTTCCTTTTCCCATCGCAGAGCAACCAGCAGCCATCTAAAAAGGCCGCTGGCGATTCTCCTTCCTCAATTCCATACTTTCCGATCTCATCATCTCCAACTCCCTTCCATGTCAAACCCACCTTCCGAGCTATTTCTACAGTCCAGCATCATTGCGCCGGCTAGTGAACAACAGAATGGAAGAAAGGGAAACCCGATCTGCAAATCGATGATGGTGGTGATGTTTTACGCGCGATGGCGGTGACTATCGGAGAACAGCAACTCAACAGTTTGTACTTGAACTGGCCGGAGGACTCATGTGCAATCGAAAAGTCAGTCCACGTGCTTGAAAAGAGACGAGGCCTCCTCTTGCAATCGGCCCAAAAAAACCCTCACCATCGGGCCTTCCGAAGCAGATGAGGAATTGGATTGGGTAAGGTTTGGGTCCATTTTTGTCATAGAGTTAGGCTTGGTTTTGGATAGAAGAAGAGGGTTTTTCTGAGCAGTATAAATAGATCTTTAGACAAGGGTTTTGGGAGGTCTTTTTGGTTTTGAGTTGGGTATTGAGAACGGCGGCAGAAAGGAGAGGAGTTCTGCTAGAGGGAGCTGGTGATTTGGGAGAAGGTTTGGGTCAACCTTTGTAGGTAATTTTCTGAACAGAGAAGTTTTCTGGGAACGGCGGTGAAGGGGACGATGGGAGCCTGGTCTGGTGGGTGGGATCCCTCCCATCAGATCTGGATCTACTTTTCCTAAAAAAACTCTGCCGTGGGTGTGTTCTTTGTCTGCTGATTGTTTTTTTTTTTTTGTATTTTTCATTCAACGTTTAAGCTTGTATGTGCTTACTGAGAAATGACTGAGAAATCAAAGATTGCCCAGTTCGTTTTGTCTGATGAATGTGCTCCTGCCTTGCTGTTGGTAAAAATGTGATTTTTTTCTATATGATGAACCTGTTTTTTTTCTTTTGACAGTGATGAACCCTAGTGATGAACCCTAATTGCAGGTTTCCTTTTTCCATGTTTGATCTTTTTTTCGTTTATTTTGAGTAGTGGATTGTGTTTTTGGGTTGGCTCAATCTGACCCAATCCAATAGATAAAAAAAAAAAAACTAAAAAAGTTAAAAAAAAAAAAAAAAGTAAAAAAAAGAAATATATATAAAAATTTTATTAATTCATTAGATTAATTAATTTAATTTATGATTAATGAAATTAATTAATTTTAATTATTTTAATTAATATTAAATTAATTATTCAATTAAATTAATTATCTTATTAATTAATTTAAATTTTTAATTTTCTTCAAATTTTGGTCAAAGTTAAAATTATTTTTTTATTTCAAGTTTTACCCAAAAGTTCTATGATTAAGCAATTCAGTCCCAAGGTTTCAAATCTTTTTAAATCAGTCTTTCATGTTTTCGAATTTAATCAAATTAGTCCCTTTAATTTTTATTTGTGCTTATGATGCATGCATGTCTTTGATTTTGTCCATTTTAGTCCAAAAATTTTAAAATGTTTCAATTTGGTTTATCCTTCTTTCAAGCTTACTTATTAAGACTAAAATACAAATATAATAAATAAGTTGAATTAAAAACCCCAATTTTAAAGTATGCAACCATATTTAAACGGAGGATTGTGAGGTGTGCATATGCCTTTCCTCACTCCTAACCGAACCCCCGAACCCCGATCTCTGCGCAGACTTATTTTAGGTGACTTATCCTACATTATAATTTGGACGAGTAGCGACTCTTTTTTTTTTTTTTATATATATTTTTACACTTAATGATTTTTTCATTGTTTTGAAAAATTTTTAGTGGTTGTCAACAATTTAGGTAAGCTACTGAAGCAAATCTCTGCTCAATTTGTTCTGGTGTTTTTCCTTCGTTTTCTAACTGAGCTTTGATTGTGAATCGCCTCTCCAAATTCTGTGCTTGACAGAATTCTTTGAAAGATTCGCTTGCGAATTGGGTCCCATTGTCTGTGACCAGGATTTTTGGTGTTCCAAACCTACATATGATGCATATGTTTACAAATTCTTCTATGTTTTGTTCTGTTATTCTGGCTACAGCCTCGGCTTCTACCCATTTCGTGAAGTAGTCTATTGCAACTATGAGGTATTTCTTTTTTCCTTTCGCCTTTGGGAAAGGCCCAAGGATGTCCATCCCCCATTTTGCGAAGGGCCACGGAGCTGTTACCATATGCAAAGGATTTGAAGGTTGGTGTTGTATTCGAGTGAACCTTTGGCCACTACTAGAAAAAGCTTTATTTCTGATAAAATATTTTGGACAAGAAAATATCTTGACCAAAAAATGACTTAATTCGGTCAAAAATGTACTTTAGTCTGATTAAAAGGTATTTAACATAATAATTCGGTCTAAAATATTTCGATCAAATATATGGACCGAAATAAAAGAGCGCCAATTGGCGCTATTGTTAATTCAGTCAAATATTTTATTCGAGTTATATTAATAATAAAATAGTAAACATTTCAATTATAAATTTTGACCGAATTAATTAAGTAATTTTTATTCTAATTTAGCTATATTTTTCGGTCAAAACTTTCGACCGAAATAATTGTCTCCTTTTTTTAAAAAAAAAAAATTGTATTAGTATGATGTTTTCTTTTTTAAAATTTATTTAATTTTCTATAAAACTATTTCGGTCAAGCATTTTGACTGAAATAATTGTATCCTTTTTTTAAAAAAATTCTATTAGTATGATGCTTTCTTTTTGTAAATTTTTTAAATTTTCTATGAAACTATTTCGGTCAAGAGACTTGATTGAAATAACTGTCTTTCTTTTTTTTTTTAAAAAAAATTCCTATAGAAAATTACTATGATGCTTTCTTTCCTAAATTTCTTTAAATTTTCTAAGAAACTATTTCGTTCAATAATCTTGACCAAAATTATATTGTTTTGACTCCAAGAATTAAGTAAAATTTCTTAAATTTTCCGCCAAAATTGTTTCGGTCAAAATTTTTATCCGAAATTAATGTTTTGGCTCCACAATTCAAGTGAAACATTTTGAATTGTCCGCCAAAATTATTTCGGTTAAAAATTTTGACCAAAATAGTCTAAACACTTTAGGCACTTTAAATTGTACTTTCCACATTTCCTTCTTCCTTCTTCCTTCTTTCTACTTTTCCGTTCATTCTGCCTTCCACACCTATATTTCTCATCTTTCTCTTCCTTTTAATTACTTCCCCTCCTTATTTCTCTTTCCTTCCATCATTTTCTCTCATTTCTTCCTTTTTCTCATCTTCTCTTTTCTTCACTTTCCCTTTTATTTCATTCAAGCTTCTTAGCCTCTCATCCATTTTCTCACATTCTTTTTTCCTCATACATTCCTTCCTTTAGTTTCATCTCCTTAAATTTTGCTCATTTTCTTTCTTCCTTTAATTTTAATCTTATTAGTTTATTTCTTTTACAATTTACAAGTTTGTTTCAATTAATATTGATATCAATTTTATTTTTTGTAGGATTTTATAATAGAAATTAAAGGCATTTTAAGGAGGCATCTCATTTGGTACTTTTTTTTTATTGTTTATATTT